TGCTGCTTGGCCTGCTGTGTTCATCCAGCCCTGCACCTTGTTGTCTCAAATGATTCCTGTCCCGGTTCCAAGTGCAGACATCGCTTAAACATGAATTGATTCGAGTAACTCAAATATCACACTTGCCGTGATTTACGAGAGCGGAGACTGAGAATGGGGAAGGTACCACATGGGGAGTGTCAATGGAACTGCATCTCGTTAATTCATACCGCGAGTTGGAATTCTGTCCAGACACTAATGTTACATATTGCAGTATATGTATCTCATTAACCCTTCCAGGAATTATATTTTGTTTAGTTTTGATGCTGGGACCCCTGGCGATATTTTAATGTTGTATTCTTTCCATTTACCTGTTAAAGACATTTCAGGCTTCAATTACAAATTGTGTTCTGCTTACAATCTGGGCGAAATAAAAATGTACCGAAAAAATGGGATTCTGTAACTATTCGTTTTGAAGATGTTTATATCGGCGGGTTTGATAAGATTGATTAACCACGATTACACGGCCGGTTGATCAGTTTGTCTGGGCTGTATTAAACCCCGCGCTTTCTTCCTGCCTGTTGCAGACAGATCAGGCAATGAATGATCCTGTGTCCTGTCGGCGGTGTGTGCAAACTGGGTTTAAAAAAAAAAATCCGGGATAGCAGCGCATGCGCGATACTGGCCATTTCCCCCAATGCTGGTTGTTGCAGACGAGAGGAGCGCATGCGTGAGGCCCTCCCCCAGCGCTGCTGTTGAGAAGTATTTACTCCGTGAGTCGAAGAGGTTTGTTTGAAACAGACCGCAATGGAGAGACCAGCAGGACATCGAGGTGTGAACCTGGGACGCAGAGGTGGGGCTTCCGAGACTGGCATTGATTCGGGCTCAGTTCAGGGAGAACCGGGGGCTGTTTATAAGAGGCCGAGCGGAGCAGGAACTGGTCCCTGAACTTGGAGTGAGCGGCCTGGCGGGGAAGAGAGAGGCCTTTCTCGGGCTGTGTGTGGGCCTGCTGAGGTAGACATAGCGGCAAGAAGCTGCTGGGGGTCATTCTTTTGGTTTTCAAATCTGTAAACACTGATGCAAATTACTGTTTGGATTCTATTTCACGCTGTTTGTTGACATTGTGTAGTGAATAGTGAAACATAGACAAGATTGTGGGAATATAAGTATCTTGTGTAGGACGTAGATTGGAGCTAACAGATCATATGTCTGGAGTAGAACATTTGAAATAGTGCCTATTGTTCTTTTCAACAGTTCGTGTTTTGGAAACTGGTAACATGTACTGTGTCAACATTGCAGCATCTTCGAGTAGCACCTTAGATGGAGCTGTGCAATTATTACTCAGTTTCTGAATCTGACTCAATTGGTATCGAATTATATATTTT